AGTGCCCACCGTCTCACTCCTCTGCCTGACGCTCCGGGTGGCTGCTGTGGCTACTGTCACAGTTCTGTTCAGCACCAGTTCCCTGGGGCCAGTCACCTGGTGCCCTCCTGAATACAGAGCTCCAGAATGTCCTGGCCTCTTCTGCGGGTGCCGCCCCTCATCACCCAAAAGCCCACCTCATGGGCCATAGGCTGTTCTCACAGCAGCCCTCCCTGGACTACCAGTGGGCTGAACGATGTCTTCCCTGAAGGAGGCCAGGGGAGCCCTAGGGGGCAAGACAGATGCTGGGGAGCCTTCCTTAGTATATACTGGCAGGCTCATTCACTGAACAAATCCTTTTCTCGGACTTTCTTTGTGCCAGGAATTGTCCTAGGAGTCACAGATGTTGCTGTGAACAAAGCCAAGTCCTTGCCCTTGGGGACAGTACCTTCTAACACAAAGGCTGCCCCCGGGCCTTGTGGCTAACTGCCTTTGCCCCGTCGCAGACCCTCCTGGCTTCTTAAGTGTATCTGCTTAAGAGAAGCAGAGTTGCTGGGTGTGGTGGCACACAACTGTAGTTCTAGGTACTTGGGAAGGTGAGGTAGGAAGATTGTGAGTTTAAGGTCAGCCTGGTGAGACCCTGTCTCTTTATGTTTGTTTGTTTGTTTGTTTGGTACCAGGGATCAACTCCTGACCTTGTGCTTGTGAGGCAGGCACAGTGCCGCTGAGCTAAATCTCCGGCCGACCAATGTTTGCTTTTGCTCCAAAGTCAGGAGCAGCCTCCAAATTTTCTGACTCACGCAAGCCACAAGCCTGCAGCTGGACCGCTCTGGGCCAAGAGCACCCCCATATCATCCAGGGGAGGGAGTGGATTTCACTCTTAAGATAAGAAATCTGGTAAGAGGGATGGAACTCAAACCTCCTCTGGGCCCAGGGATTTCAATGCTCCCATTTGTAAAATGGAGGCAGTTGTGTCTGTTCTGTGGACTTTTTGGAGAAGGAAACGAAATGACAAATGTGGAAGTATTTTGAAATAAAGGCGGCAGGCATACAAGTATATTATTACTACGCAGAGCAATCTTTTCTCCATAACATAAAACTTGTCTTCTGTTGGGGGCTGAGAATAATAACTATGTAATTAGACTTCGTGTCATATAAAGAGAGGCATGCTGTTTTTCATTAAACAGACATTTGTTCGCCTTCTCCGGTGTGCAGTGTTGTGTACTGTGATGGATGCAAAACTGAATAAGCCATAATCCTCCCCTTCAAAGAATTCACATTCTGGTCTCAGGAAGATAAAACTTAGATAATATAATGGAAAGTCAAAAGAAGAAAGTGGCTTAGAGGAAGGAGTGTTCTGTCTGGGATGGAGAGTTGAAAGGCTTGGAGGAGGAGAGAGCATTGACCAGAGATGCACAGGATAGAACAGGAGGAGCTGGGCATGGTGACCCATGCCTATAATTGCAGTGCACAGGAGGCTGAAGCAGGAGGATCGCCTCAAGTTTGAGCCCAGCCTGGGCTACACGTAGGGAGGTCGTGGCCAGCCTGAACTACATAGCGAGGCTCTGTCTCAAGAAAACAAACAAAAAAACATAATAAATAAATCAGATGGGACAGGATATCCACTAAGCAGAGAGGATCCACCTATAGCGTAACTGAGGTCATTCAGATCTGCCAAACCCCAAGGAGAAGGCAGGTAAGGAAGGTGAGAGCGGGAGAAGCAGTCAATGGGTCCCTTGAATGTGTGATAGATTGAGTCTTGGGACTGGGAACGCTTCTTCCGTGCTTTTCCGAGCTCCACTTCTGAGTGCCTGTGCTTCTCTTTGAAGGGTTTGGTGTCTGTGAACCTAGACATCTTCCAGTAATGATTTAAGTTGCTCCAAAAATATGGGGCCCTGGAGTGAAAGGATGAAAAGAAAGGAAAGGGAGAAAGATCTCTGCTTAGCAGCCCTGTTCTGTTTGATCTCGCAGACAGCGGGCAATAATGAAAGAATGCTGGGACTGACGGTGGAAGGTGGTTGGGTTCCAAGTGGCCGTCTCCTTCTCGAGCTGCGAGCTATGTCTGCTGTTTGGACTTGCAGACTTCAAACATGACTGGGGGATTCCTGGAAGACAAAAGAATTCAGGGCCGAGGCTTGGATCGAAGTCAAAAATAACTCATGTCTTCATCTCAGGCAGCCAAATGGCAGCACCTTGGGGCTGGTTTGCCTGAAGACTGGAGTTATAGGTGGGGAGAGGGTCAGCTCAGGTTTGCTGTAGAGAGACAGAAGGAGCTTTACAGGGTGTGGCCCGGTGGAGAGAGATGTGAGGATGGAAACTGCTTCAGAAGGGGCCCAAGTGGAAGAGGCTTTGGATGAAAAATTATCCCTGCCGGCCCCCCTTCTGGTGGGGAGCTGCCATTTGCTTTGAGTGATAATTACAGCCCTTAATGTACCTTCCCTGGCTGCTCATTAGCTTCAGGTATCCACACACAAACTGCTCTGCTTCCTTCTCTTTCCCTTCCCAAGGCTCCTCCTGGCATTTCAGTGGAGGCCCCTTCCTTCTGGCTCCCTGGCTCTGAGCATCAGACCCTTAATACAGAGTCCTCCTGCTCTTGTGAGGCAGGTGGCAGCACCACTGAGCTAAATCCCTGGCCCCAGAGTCCTCCTGCTCTTGAAGGGTGCACTAGAGACAGACCCTTAACCTATCCTCTCCCCATTATCCCACTGGGCTGTAATTAGAGGACTCTCATTTCCTCCCAGGAGGCCAGGGCTTCAGTCAGACCCTCAGCACATTGGGCAAGGTCTGGCACATAGAGGACACCCATGGCACGCCGGTTGAATGGTGCTGTTGAGCAGGTGCCAGCTTAATCTTCCTAAAATGCTGCTCCAGTTAGAAGCTGCAACCACTCCTCCACTGCCCTCTGGGCCACTGACACTCCAGGACTTCTCCACAGGGTCCTCCTCACCCGCCTCGCCATCCTCACTTTGTGCTCAGCCCCTTAATGGTTCCCAGCACAGCCAACAGCTGTCCTCTCTGTGCCTTTGCCATAGGAATTCCTCTCCTCAGAAACCCTTCTACACTCTTGACCCCAGAGTGGCCCCTCCCTCCAAGGTCCCTCTTCACCGTGTGCTAGGACCTCTTGGAGTTTGAGCTGCTCTTCCCCAGGACTACAGTTTGGGGCTTTTGCTCCCCAGAGAAACTTGTGTTAAACAGACTTGGTCCCCAGGGTGGTAAAAGGCTTTTAGGTCAGTGGGATTGTGTCCCTGAAGGGGATTGTGGGATCTCATTCTTCCTTTTCCTTTCTTGGTTCCTGGCCATGAGGTGAAGAGTTTTGCTCTGCTGCACATGCCTGCCATGTTGTGCTGCCTGGCCACTGGTCCAAAGCAATGGGGCCAAGGGATCATGAATGGCAATATCTGGAACTGTGAGCCAAAATACACCTTTTCTTTTTATAAGTTGATTATTTCAGGCATTTTATTACAGTGTTGGGAAACTGACTAACACATCTAGACCCTTATCCTGTTCTTTATGGGCTTAGAGCGTCTCATTGAGGACTTTCAAAGAAGTCATGGTGTGGAGTGCTGCCAAAATGAAGAGCAGGACACAAATGCCAATCAGCACTGACTGCTGCTACTCATCACCAAGCCACAGGTCAGGCCTATGTGCAGCACATGCTGAGGCACCTGTGAGTGGTTGGCCCATGGCAGCTGGTGAGTGAAGGTGAGTGGAAACCACCACTGTTCCCACTAAGTCCCCTTGTGTACAGAATGTGTCAGTCCTTTGGCTGCCTGAGGTTAGGGTGGGACCGAAGGTATCAGGTAGCCCAGCCACTCCCATCCTTGGATCCCAGATGCCTGTCCCACGGCCCAGTGGTGAGACCTAGTTGCAGGTTCCCCAGAGTGGGCTGACTGGAGAGGCTGAGGAGACACTGAGGACTTCAGGAGAGAGGTGGCCTTGGGGTTGCAGAAGTCACTGGGTGTCACAACTCCCCCCAGTGGTCTCCAAATCCAGATGGCCAATTCCCTCCCAGCAGGGCCAGGGCGAGGATTCTGGTGAGGGGCTGGAATTCTTTCCTCAGAGACTCAGGAACACCATCTGCCAAGGTGAGGTGACAGCTCCTGGGGAGCAGGAGGCACTGGATCTCCTGTGGGTACTCAGGTCCTTCCTCTCCTGGCCCTGGCCTCAGGCCACGCCCCCACCTACCATCTATCCCCTGAACTAGTTAGAGGGGCATTTTTCTGAGACAGGGTCTTGCTATGTTGCACAAGTTGGCCTTGAGCTCCTGAGCTCAAGGGATTCCTCCTGCCTAAATCTTCAAGGCAGTTGGAACTACAGGCATGTGCCACCACAAATGTTTAGAAGGATCTTTTTGTTTTGTTTTCAGTACTGAGGGTTAAACTTAGCTAAGGCCATTACACTGAGCTGCATCCCAGCCCTTAAATTTATTTTTTATTTTGAGACAAGACCTCACCAAGTTGCTAAATTCCCCAGGCTAGGCTGAAACTTGCAATCCTTCTGTTTCAGCCTCCCAGAATGCTGGGATTACAGGTGTGGGCCACTGTGCCCATCTTAGAGAGATCTTTTTAAATGTTAGTCTCCTGGTCACAATCCTTGGTGGCTCCCTATTGCTCTCAGGATGAAGTCTAAGCTCTTCATAAACTCACATTCCTTCCTAACCCGGCCCTCCAGCTTGGGCGCTTTCTGTGGGACACCTTGATCTATTTTCTGGCCATTCCAAAGTGTTCCCCTTCCCTATCACACTGCTGCACGCACCCAGCCTTTGCCCATGCTGTTCTCTCTGCCTGGAATGCAATGCTTCTTTTTCACCTTTCCAAGTTTCTTGGTTATTCTTGGGGGTTGGGAGTCCTTTGGGATCCACATGGACACCCTCCTTTGGCTTCCCTGGAATCCAGGATATATTCTTGTGTTGATCAAGTCTGTTGCCCCCAATTAAACCATTTCTGTAGGGCAGGGTCCCATCCATCTCAGTATTCCCAAAGCGGGAACAGATCTCAGTATTCCCAAAGCGGGAACAGAGCTCAGTAAATGCTCACAAGTTTAATGGAGGCCGCTGCGGTCCCTGCCACCTGAGGGGAGGGCAGAGCTGCTTAGGACAATAGGGCAGTCTCTAAGCTGGAGAAGACAGGATGACAAGGGCAGCTGGGGTCAGGACACTGCAGGGCTGCTGGGCATCGCAGCAGAGTGCCCAACTCCTCCATGTGCCAGCTTCCCCTTCAAGTCCCCTGGAACCCGGCTTCTGGCTCCTTCCTGCCATTTTCCGAAGGTCTGCATAGATTAGAGACAGTCACAAAAATGACAGCAGCGGGTGGACCACGTGGTGACACCGATCTCAGGGTCCCCCCACCAGCGACTTCGGGGTCCCCAGCAGCTGCTTATCCTTCTGGGTTTCTTTCCACAAAGAAGTCAGCCTCTCTTCTGTCCCCTGAAGGCTGTTTTTGGAATCACACCCCATGCAGACAGTTATTTACAAGGAAATCTTGGCAGGATCTTGACTTGTTAGTAGAGTAGGGATTGGGGGGAGGGTGGTGAGAAACAAAAATAGTTGAAACGATCACACTTTCTGAGAGCGAGATGAAAATTGGTGTCTGTAGCAAACTCACCTAATTAGAATGGAGTTCATTTCCTTCTTGGTGTTTAAGGGGCGCAGTCATTCCTGGGCGAGCTGGTCACAGGTGGGTCCCTGGGGCTGGGTTGAGTTTGCTTTGGAAGATGACAGCATTAATCACAACTTTCGCTAATAGAAAAAGAGCCCCTGGGCCCGGGATTTAGTTCAGTGGTTCCACCGCCTGCCTCGAAACCACAAGGTCCCGATCCCCCGTACCAAAAAGAAAAGAAAAAGAAAAAGAGCCCCGGCTTCTGAGAGGCAGAGGGGCAAAGGCGAGTGGCTGAGTGAGAATGGGTGGTGGCCAGGGTCGAGGAAGGGCACAGACCAGAGGTACGGCCAGGACTACAGGGAAACGGCCCAGGTTTTTTCCTTAAAAGCTCCTTTACCTCTCTACTAACTTCATTCCTGCTTTCCCCTTTCTTTCTTTCTTTCTTTCTCTTTCTTTCTTTCTCTTTCTTTCTTTCTCTCCTTCCTTCCTTCCTCCCTCCCTCCCTCCCTTCCTTCCTTCCTTCCTTCCTTCCTTTTTGTACCAGGGATCGAACTTGGGACCGTGCGCTTGCGAGGCAGGCGGCGGAGCCACAGAGATACATCCCGGCCTGGCTTTCCCATTTCTTTACCTCCCCTCTCCCAGGCAGGACACCCCCGGGGTTCAGCCCGGGTCACAGAACTCTGAGTGGAGCGGGGCAAAGGCTTAGGGGTTGGGGCTCTCCAGCCTCCCCACCTGACTTCTCCCAGACCTCCCGGAACGTGCGATCGCAGAGAACAGACAAGCGTAAGGGTGGCTGGGGGAATCCAGCCCTCTCAAGTTAACCCTGACGTTACCACAGGAGTGGAAACCTCGCCTCTGCCCCTGTCACAAATCTGCAGCCTCCAAGTGCTCGTTAAACCGGCGGGGGAGACCAACCCCGGGCCCAGCGGGGGCTGCGGGTCACGGGGCGGGGGACGGCGCGGTCCCCACCCTGACCCGGCCGTGCAGCCGCTCGCCCGCCACCCCCGCCGCAGCGCCCCCGCCTCCCCCCAGGGCCGCGCGGGGCTGACCGATCTGGCCCTGGCCGCAGCCGTGGCGTCCGGGCCGGGGTGGGGGGCGGGGGCCCCGCGAGCAGCCCCGCCCCCGCCCGCGCGCCGCCCCCGAGGAGCCCGCGGGGAGGAGCGGATTCGGGCACAGAGCTGGGGCCGCGCGCGGCGGGCAGGGAGCGTGGGGAGCGGCGGGGCCCGGGCCGGCCCAAGGGCGCCCTCGCCGCCGCGGAGGAGCCGGGCGCGGGGACCGCGGCGGAGGCGGAGGCCGGCGGGGCGGCCAGCGCGGAGAAGTTTGGCGGCCGCGGGGCCGGGCGTCCCGGAGTCGCGGGGCGGCGGGGACTGGGGCCATGGGGGCGGGCGCGGGGTGGGCGCAGCGCGCACGGAGCCCCCCAAAGAGCCGCGCAGCGCAAAGTTAGCCCGGCGCCCCGGCCGGCCCTGGACCCCGCCTCGGCCATGGGCGAGCACCCCAGCCCCGGCCCCGCAGTGGCCGCCTGCGCCGAGGCGGAGCGCATCGAGGAGCTGGAGCCCGAGGCCGAGGGGCGGCCGCCCGCGGCGCCGGAGGACGTGAGTGCCCCCTCCCCGCACCGGCAAACTTTCTGGGGTCTCCCGGGGGGAGGGGGCTGCCCCCATCTCACCCCTGCGGGCCAACTTGGAGGTTTCAGGATGATGCGGGAGCGCCCCGGATTGCCCGAGTCCCCGCGAGTGGAGGGGCGAGGACCGGTGTCCCCCTCTCTCGCGCGCCGCCCGCCCGGCGCCCCTGAGGGACCCGCGCCGCGCGAGGACCCGGAGCCCCCTCCCCGCGCTGGTGCAGTGCCCGGGACCCGGCGCTCTCCTGCAGAGGCGGCCGCGTCACAGCAATGACTCCCTCCCCTCCCCTCCGCGACCTGCGGACTCCGCCGGCCCAGGGAGGCAGCGGGCGCCGCAGTCCTCCGTCCCCGGCCGCGCAGACCGGTCTGGTGACCCCTTTTTTCCGCTCCCAGATTAGCTCCGCTCCGGCACCTGCCTGGTCGGGACACAACTGGTCCCGCTCCCTGAATCGGGCCCGGACTGGGAGAGGAGTGCTGGGAGCGGTTTGGTCCTCAGGAGGGGATTCAGGCGTCCGAGGGTCCCCGGGGAGCGGCTAGGGAGGGGCCGTCCCAGAGGCCAGCCCTAGGAACTGGAGTTGCCTAAGCTTCTCCTCCGGGGCTTAACCTGCTCTAAGGGGTGAAAAACTGGGCGGAAGCTCCATCTGGTCCTCAGGGTGAGGAGATGGACCTGAAACCAGACCCCACAACCTACAAAACGAAAGCCAGCAAATGAGGCTGCGGAGTTTCACATCTCCTGGCTTCTGAATGGTTAAACCTATCACTTCCTTCTGGCCCTAAACCCCGGATAGAGTCTCATGCACTCAGCACAGAAACTCAGCTTTGGAAGAGAAGGGGTGGGTTTCAGCACAGGAGGAACCCCTCTTCCCAACTACCCCCCAAACCTGTAGACAAATTGTTAGTGCTTTTGCAGGGTCCAAGTTCTGCTGAGTAGGGGGTCCCTGGCCGAGCGGGGCCTGAGGGACCCGTGCTTGGGCATGCGTGCATTTGGAGAGAGTAGATGTGGATGTGAGCTGTAGACAGCAGAAGTTATCCAAGGCCCCTGGGCAGAGTTGGGCGCCTTTATTTGTTAATTGCTGGGGATCCTTCTCACTCTGCTCATCCTTCCACCTAACTGTCCCAGACCAGGGACACCGTCCTTGCTGGTCCCCCATCCCTACCGCCACCCCCTCTGTGAGTTCTCTCTGCCATTTGGGGAGCTCTGGTCAGGTTTTCTCTGGACTCCTGTGACCTGTGCCTGGCCTGGTTCTGACCTGGGCAGCAGCTGGGAGACTAGGTCAGAAACATCAGAGACCTTGGTGATAAGTGTGTCTTTCTTTCTCTTCTCTTCCTCCTCTCATGCATGGCCTTCCTCTCTACCAGCACTGGAAAGTCCTGTTTGATCAGGTATGTGAGCAGTTAAACATCCCCCCCGCCCTTCCTTCCAGCCCTCCCTGAAATCAGTCTCAGTCTCCCTGGTTGCGTGGGCTTCCCCAGCTCTGCGCTCCTGAGATGGTGACGCGGCGGGGAGGTGTGGCTTACTGCATCCCGGCTGAACAACTCTGCTCTCCAGGTAGCAGGAGGAGGCAGGCAGGCAGTGGGCTCCCCTGAGAGAATCCCTCCCCCGTCCTCCCTCCTCCCTCTGCACCAAAGCTGGGCTGATACCTTGTAGAAATTGGACAATATGTGTTGAATGGCTGCGAAGTTTCCTACCATATATGCAAAGGGATTGCAGTGGGAGGCTGGGGAGGTGGGGGAAGGGTTTGAGTTAACCACCCGCTGGCACCTTTTCTCGCTCTGCCATAGAAGGTTCACGGCCACCACTGAAGTACAATCGCTGCTGTCCTTGGGGGGTGACTCACGGTATAGGCGCTTTTGAAAGCTGATTTTGTTTCTTTACCTCTGCAACAGGAATGGGGAGTGCTGGGAGGTTACATTTGGGAAACAATGTGATTTGCAAGGCCTCCAGTTGAGGTGTGGGGGAGTGGGTTGGGAAGGCCGAGAATTGGCTTATGAATTGGGAGATGGACATTTGACCTTCAGGAAGGAAGTGGTTCTCTGCTTGGTACTCAGGTGCCATTGTGTTTCCTTTGCCGGCTTTGTCCCATGTGCAGAAGAGGAGGCAGATGTCTCAGTGTTGGCGGATAGTTCTGGTGTGAGAATGATTGTGATCTGAAGTTTGTGCAACTTTAATAGATCAGTATATTTGGACCAGAGGAAATGTGTTAGGGAAATAAAGCTGAGAAAGCAGCTTGAGCCAGACTTTCGTGCTAGGCAGGGGAAGCCTTTGAAAATTTTTAAGCAGGGTTGCTTTGGGATCCAAGCATTGCTGGAAAGATCTCATGCCGAAGTAGGAAAGAGCCAAGATGGATTTCAGGGATCAGAGAAACTAGCCTAAGGTCGCTGCCATGAATGGAGACAGCACCTTTTGTTAGCAGCTTTCTATCACTATAATGAGTACCTGAAATAATCAACTTATATTTTATATTTGGCTCATGATCTTGGAGTTCATTCCAGGATTGGTTGGCCCTGTTGCTTTTGGACCTGTAGCAAGGCAGCACTTCAAGGCAGAAGCACATAGTGGAGCAAGAGCCACTCACCAAGCCAGGCACGGTGACACTCGCCTGTAATTCCAGCAGTCTGGGAGGCTGAGGCAGGAAGACTAAAAGTTCAGGTACAGCCTGGGCAACTTAGTGAGACTCTGTCTCAAGATTAAAAATTTGGTAAAAGGGCTGGGGGGCGGGTAGCTCAGTGTGAAGGTCCTGGGTTCAATCCCTAGTACTGCAGATAACAGCAGCAACAGAAACCCATTCACCTCGTAACCATGGAGTGAAGAGAAAGAGAGTTGAGTCACATGATGAGGCCAGATCCTTCAAGTATCCACCACCTCCCAGTAGCTCCAGGCTGGGGACCAAGCTTTAGCACATCAGCCTTTGGGGTACACTTATCTGAACCATAACATACCTCAGTGTGGACAGTGATAGTGAGATTGGAAAGAAAGAAGGATGTGGCAATAAGGGAATGAGACCTTAACAGCCTGGAGTAGCCGAGAAGGACCGAATACCAATTGAGATTCTGAACTTAAGAGGAGAAGGGGGAGGGTCAAGAGGGAAAGGGGGAGGGTCGGCAAAAATGACAACTTTGGTTTCAACAAATTCAGTTTGAGGGGCCAGCTAAATACAGATGCCGGAGTGGGGTTGAAGAATCACAGGGTAAAAGATGTGGAGAACCCAGGGTGAGGATTTGGGGCTATCTTCCCCTTTTCCCATGAGGCCTGGCTATACATCTACCCGCTCCTGTCCCGAAGAGATATCGAATCTCCCTCTTGGCTCCTGAGTGCCACCCTCTCTCGCACTCTGGCCCCTAAGAGTACAGCAGCTGCTTGCCTGACGCCCTACGGAGCTACCACCAAGCTGCCAGCCCTTCACACCTCCTGCCGGATTTAGACTCAGAACCTAGAACAAAGTCTATCTAGCTTTTTCTCTGTGTCTTTCGCGTTGGATTAATTTCCTTTGCCAGTTCCTCTGTGTGTGTTTACATTTTAAGACAAACCATTTGGATGAATGGAGGAGAAACTTTAGTGGGAAGAATTTGGAACTTGAGGGAGCAGAGAGAATGTGTAACATCCAAAAATTAGCTGATGGTCCCTAAAAATCCAGTTTCTCCAACTGGAGGGAGACCCAAGGAGTCACAGGGAGTATCCCCCTTGTTCCTGGGGAGGTCCACCCAGAATTCCCTCTGGACAGATAGAATTAATTCTAGGAAATGGAACAGTATGTTCAGCCTGATATCGGCTCGCCATCCCTCACAAGGCATCAGAAGCCTGTTTCTCCCTTCCGGTTGTTGCTCTGTTTAAGGAGAGCTGCCATCTGTGTTTATGGCCCATATCATGAGTGTTAGCCATCTCTTGACCATTCTCCTGACAGGGCTAAAGGAAGAGCAGATATGAAGCTTCTCGGACACTCGGCCTCAGAAGGATGGGATATGTTGTTCAGAAAGCAGATGGAGCCTGTGTTTCTTGCCTGTGCCTCTGGCCTGGCTAATGGTAGGACTCAGACTTGCTGAACATGGTGCACATGGGTTGCCCACAGCCTCTGCCCCAGCCCCCTTTTCCTGCAGAAGTCATCGGGATAGGTCCAGTTTCAGTGAGTGGGACACTGACACCTGTCAGAGTCCCTGCAGGCCAGTGTGGCTCCTGAGTCCACCTTCCGGAAGTCAGTGGCATAGGAGGACAGAGCTAGTCGGGCATGCCCTCTCTCCCTCCCTTCAGGGGGACACCAGTGGTCACCCAGTTTCCAGTGGGTCTTCTGGGGTCTGTTTCCCAGGTGTCAGGGATAGAATCGGAATAATTCGTGTATGCTGTGTGGTTCCACAGTATGTGGGGCAGCCTTGATCTAGCATGAAGCACCTGGACCCCCAGGGCTGGGATCCACAGTGCTGGCTGGGGCACCCCTTCAGCAGAATGGCCAGGATGCCTTTTGTGGGAATAAAAGGTGAAGAAAGCAGGTGACCCCAGCCCCTCAGAAGCTTCCCTGGTCACCCTGTCATTCTGGTGTTTGGCCTGCTCAAGCAGGATGTGTAGCAGGACTCATCCACCCCACCTCCTCTTCCCCACTGTACTACATCTTCTCCAGAGTGGTCACCTGAGGGTCAGCATTTCAGTTCCCAGATGTTCCATGCGTTTGTTTCCTACTTAAGGAAAGTGTCTTTTCATATCTGTGGGATCGTTGATGATTTCTCTAAATATTTAAATAGAATTTAAAGTTACCATAAATAATCTGTTGTTGTAGTACAACATCATGGTTAAAAAAAATGTTTTTCTGTTGTTGAATCGATTGAGTTTTTCTTTCATGATACCTTCTACTGCTTCAGACCCGAGACTGTTTGCATCTCTCTCTAAATCTTATAATCATGCTGCTGTTATTTTCTACTAGTTTTTCTATGATTAAAAAACAATCACAAATGCAAGGACCCAAGTTTGATCCCCAGTACCAAAAAAAAAAAAAAAATCACAAAGCCAGGCAAGATGGTGCATGTCTGTAATCTCAGTACTCGGGAGGCCGGCCTGGACTACATAGTGAGTTCAAGGGCAGCCTGAACTACAAAATGGTAACCCCAGCTTCTTGGGAGGTTTAGACAGGAGGATCAAAAGTTCCAGACTAGCCTGGGCTACCTAGAAAGACTGTCTCAAAACAAATATGCAAATAACAACAACAAATCATATAACCCTTCACTTGCTGTCTAGTTACTCCTGTCTAGTTATATCAGCATCACTTTCTTAAGCTGGGCCTGTGGGCATACACCTGTAATCCCAGGTGGCTGAGGCAGGAAGATTGCAAGTTCGAGCCCAACCAGGGCAACATAGTAAGAACCTGTCTCAAAATTTAAAAAAAATCATGGACCGGGGATTTAGCTCAGTGGTTCCAGCGCCTGCCTTGCAAGCGCAAGGTCCCAAGTTCGATTCCCGGTAACCGAAAAAAAAATTTAAAAAATCAACAAAGCTAGGGCTGGGGATTTAGCTCAGTGATGCTGCTGCCTGCCTTGCAAGAGCAAGAGCCTGAGTTCAATCCCCAGTACCAAAAAAAGAAAAAAAGCTAGGGAATGTCTGAAGGCCCTGGGTTCAATTCCCAGTACTGGGTGGATGCGTAGGTAGGTGAGGCAAACCAAACCTTACTTATATGTTGTTTGAGAAATGGTATGATTTGGTAAATTTTTCTGCCAAAAATTTGGTTGGGCTTATTTCTGATCTATGCCACTGATGTTTATAATTTTGCACAAGTAATGTGCCTTTTAGTTATTGCTTTATATATTTTCCAGAGCTTTCTGAACAGCTCTTTTTCAGGTTATGTTTTCATCCCTTCCTGAATTCCAGGGAGGTTTGCTCTAAGGTCAAATATTTTGTCCAAGGTCAAATGGTAGACTAGTTGGTGGATGAGAAACTGAAGCCCTGTTAACCCACAAAAGGTTTTCTGGGTTGAAAAAGACAGGTTCACTGTTTTTAAAAAGCCTCCAAGACCTCTGAATGTTTAAGGAGGAAAATGGTCTGGAGCAGAATCTGTTATGTCAACAAGGCACAATTGCTTTTGAGCTCAAAAGAGCAAGAAGGAAAGGTAGAATTGGAAATCACTTGATTGTGTCTCCCTTTTCCCCTTCATAACTGCAAACATACATTTCCAAGACCACAAAAAGAGACCCCACTTTTGCTCGTATCTGCAGTAGACAGGAAGTAGATACACATGGACTGCCCCAGCCAAGTTACACACATGTGCTACAGAGCATGGAGCAGCGTAGCTGGGCTATTCAGAGCAGACCCCTGGATTTGAAGACAGATAGACCTGTGGACCCAGATTCAAGTCCTACTGACTTTGTAACTAGGGATAGTTACATGATCTCTCTGAGCCTTTGTT